TAGATTAATTTCCCGAAATTTCAGCGCTGCAGCTTTTATAGGTCTTGAGATGAACGTGTGTGACAGACGCATACACAGACACACAAACAACCCCTTGCCAATATGCGTTTTTGCATTGCATGGCTGCAAAAAACGCATAAAAACCAATCTGCTGATGATCTGAAAATGAACAACTGGATGCATGTAGAAAGCAACTGCTCGACAAATATCCAGCAGTTGCGTGGCCGACTCAAGTCACAGCACAGACAGTTGCGGACTATTGAAACACCAATCAATAGCGGCGCACCTGGTTATCCGGTATAGTCATGCATTTTGCACGGTTTCGATCAGCGGACGATCACCTCCCAAGGATTTTCAGTGTTTTACCCCTTGATCTGTGAAAAAATAGTCCATATGCCTTCGGGTTCCTAAGCTGCAAAGTCTCCCGTCAAAATATTCATGCACCAGTACGCGAAACGCAAATGCACGCGAAAGGAAATTCGAAATCTTGAACGGTGGACATTATTCCAAAACTTCAACCTTCCAGTTCTTTAGTTTTCGAGTAACTTTTGCACCAAAACTTTCACGTGGTCGTACACAAGAAGCCGTTATACTTGGAAACTAAGTATGAGTTTGTTGGAAGGTTGAAGTTTTGGAATAATGTCCACCATTCAAGACTTCAAATTGCCTTTTGCGTACGTTTGCGTTAAGCAGAAAACATCCTTCTGCATAAGCAGAAAACATCCTCCTGAAGTTTTCAGCCTCCCAGATTCTCTCGCTTCAGAGGCAATAATTTTCCCCGCTAAAACTTTCATAAGGCCGTGAGTGTGATAAGTGAAAGCTGAATTCGAATCTGTGGCATCGTACATGGGAAAGCAGCATCACCTAAAGTTTCAGTTGCTAGCTTCTTTGGTTTCTGAGTTGAAATCCCCGGACAAAATGCGCTCAGAACATACACACGGACAGCGCCTCGACAATATGCGTTTTTTGCAACTGTTGCAGCAAAAAACACACAAGAAGTGGATGACAAACTTTCTTTCAACCAACGTAACACAAACAACGCACATCGCACTTTCACTCACACGCAGTCAATGCAGCAGAAAGATACTGCAAATGATTAACTGTGCACGACATAGCAACAAAACCCATGGCTGTCCACAAAACTGGACAAGCAGAGGATATTCCCCGATGAGAATAAAGCTGCCTCCAAACGAGTGCTCAAGAAGCAAAACTTCGCAATTTGGTCAGGTCATTAGTCAGCAGAAGTAAGCATGTGAAAAGAAGGAGATCTTAAGGAAAGTCATGTTGTCCATAACAAGCTGCGAAGAAAAAAAAAAAAAGAAAACAAACAGAGTACCCAGTTGCGAAGTTGGATGAGCTGACATAAAAGCTGGAACAGTGAGCGGAGCTGCCACCGATGAATATGTCTGCTGCTGCTGCTGCTGCGGTGCAGCATGCGCGGTCATCTGTTGCTGACCCAGGTGCTGCGGTGCGCCAACAGCAAATGAGGTTGGTGGCGCGCCAAATCCAGAACTGGGCGCCAAAGCGTTAGCTGGCATCGGTGTTGTGCCTGGTGGCGCAAACCCAGTTACTGACGGAGTTTGCTGCTGCGGCGCACTAGCGTTGCTGCTTGTTACTGAACCAAATGGGCTCGACACTGCCGGGGGCTGTTGCGGTGGTGGTGGTGGTGGTGCTGCTGCTGCCGGAGTGCCAAAATGCATAGCCTGTTGGCCACTGGCTACTGCTGGCACGGTGCCGAAGGAGCGATACTCGGACTGTGCGTATGGCACGAGGTTTGGCTGCTGCTGCTGTTGTTGCAACATCGTGTTCATCAGACTCGGCGGGAACTGCGTGGCCTGGGCAGTCACCGAGCCACTTGATGGCGGCGCATACGCCTGCAACGGAGCTGGCGCCCTCTGCGCCGACGAGATGATCGGCTCCGGCGCCGCTGGCGTCATGCGATCGCCCGTTTCTGAAATACTCCTCATAGAGCTTATTTTTGAAACAGAACTCCAAAAAAATTTTAACTTACCAGTGCACATCCTTTCCAACTCCTTCTTCTCCGAGACAGAAGGAAACAAACGTCAGCAGAGCCCCTCAATAGGACACTTCCCAAATTTCGATTCATTTAAATTCAACCCAAAAAAGTTCTCCGGCACTAATGCTTGCGCAGAAAAATTATCATGTAATGATAAAAATCACTTTACTCGTTCACACAGCATTTCCACACGGAATTTTTCCCTCCCCTCTACACATGTTGCCCATCGAATAGCCCCGCACCCCACTGTTACACTATATCTGTGACTACTCTGGCAACCCAGTGCGATTTCCAATAGCTCGCGCGACGAATCTCAGGTTATTAAACAAGTCCATGGCAAAAGGAAGGGACACCTTATGTATGCATTCTTGATAAAAAGAACATTCAATGTCACCTATGTAATCCTTTAAATGCACCCCTGGCTTGTACGAAGGAGAGTGCATTTCCAAATTCGTGGAGACACAGAGAGACGCAAATGAAGAACTCGTAGCGTCTCCGTTCGAAATGAGTCTCAAGAATTAATCCGTTGAGCAAACAGTCAGTGACGGAGGGAACCAACAAAATGGGAAGAGCAAAATGGTTAGCTTTCAGTAAATTATGACATTTATTTTACAAATTAGGGATGTGTTCTCGTCAATGAAAGAATTTATGCGAATCTGCTAATGAGGTGGGAAGATTCACCAAAGCGCCCATACGGAAGTACTTGAATGAGACAGCTCCAAAACACAGAAGAACAACTAAGCTAGAGCTAGATCGATAACGCAACAGTGAAGAAGGAGACGAATATGTAAGTTGTTTCAAAATATCAATTTGCTTTCGCAGCTTTCCTAAACGCATCTATCTGCTGCCTCGCTACCTACAAAAATTTCCTTGAACTGCAGACACTACTACCTGCTAGTGGCAAATGAAAACTGAAATAGACAATATTCAGAGATCTTCTCTCTACAACAGTAATACGACCATTTAAATGATTTTTGATCACATGCTGCACCTGCGAAGAGGAAGGGGCAGTGCACAGCTACGACCTGTATTTATGATGAAAAACCAGCAATGAACCCAAACAACAGCTCCACCTATCTTGGTTATTGAGAGGCTGACTTACCATACTGTGCAGATGGGAAAGATGATGTTATGTGATGCGTGCTCGAGGATATGTCAATTTCGGTATTTGATTCACTGTTCGAGCCTTCTTCTCTCGAGGATGCTGAATTGCCAACGGACTGCGAACTCGGAAGCTCACCCGGAACAGATGCCCGCATCGACGTGCCATCCAGTAGCGCCCGCTGTGAGCTATCCTTGGTTGCTGCCGATAGTCCTGCACCGTAGTTTGCTGCTAAGTTATTCACCTAAAATAAAATTCTGCCACAACATGCAGATCGCAAGTGTCCGAACTGACAAACTCAGAGTCCTACCGAAGTAAGTGCCTTTTTAAAACTAGCGCAACAACTTACTTATGACAGGGCGTAAGATGGTGCGCACGCGCGGAAAGCAAGACGCGGATGGGGCTTCCCGCCGCCTAAACAAAACCGACGAAGAGGAGCAGAAAAGTCCCACCGAATGAGCAGCATCGTGTGCCAAACAGAGCTATTTTTGACACACTGTCCAAAACACGAACTGATACTCGTGAATTCATTTCCTCAGACAAATGTTTCTACTCCAGCTGATAGTTCTTTCACAGAAACAGCCATCTGCTACCGCTCCGGAAGACTGGATGAAAGACGTGAATCGTGTGGTGGACAAATACACAAATACACATACACACCGACTTAGATCGAGGAATCGTAACCAGATTCTCCTACACAGCTAGGAATGTTGTGAGGACCATTAGACTTTTTCGCAAAAGCTCGCTTGTTCGAGAAACAGTTCCGGTGACGGAAAACGCATAAAAATCAAAAGCACGCAGAAAATCAGAAGTACTGTTACAAGAGGCAGCAGCGACGGCTGTTCAGAAAGAGTGCCGCCTGAGGGACTGCATGCACCCCACGATAACAGCACTGCAGTTCGTTACAACTATCTAGAAGAACGACAATCTTCGGCTGTAACCTGTTCGTGAACAGACGGATGTATCGTTGCAACAGACTCGCCGATCTTTGCCGCACTGTCGGCCACGCGTTCCTTGAACTCTTCCACTTTGGCAACTTTTGCATCGATGTTGATTGTCTTAAGTGTTTCCAAAAGCGCAACTGTGGTATCACGCACAGCTTCTAACTCAGCCTCCAATCTAAAACACAAAAAATGTTCGACTACTGCTACTGTGCTTTTGCACAAAAGTCTCAAGGTCCGTTTCATTAGAAACTCTTGCATTTGAACTGTCCATTACTGAAATTGGCGAAACAGCAACTGTATCGCGGTTTATTACCTTTTTACCTGACTCGAGTCACTGCCATCACACAAAACAATAACTGAAAGTTTTGATTCGTTTCGGAGAGCCAACAATAAATCGCTGTCATCGACTAACGTTATCAAATCACCATCTGCAATAGATTATCATCGATCGGAACCTATCATGGACTAAACTCCATAGTAACTCTTACTACGCAAATGTGTCCCGCTCAAACCCCCCGCGTTCCCGTACTGTCCTGTTCAAATTTCCATACCAATTTTCCATGCCAGCACGAACACAAATTTTCCCAGTAAACAAAGCTTGTCCGCTTGCATTAAACTGACGCATATCAGTGTCTTATTCATTCGCAAATCCAGCAAACCACGCTAACACCGGCAAAAAGCGCTAGCAGCAGAAAAACGTCTTTCTTTGGCCGGCCCGAATGATGAAGAATGTTGACCGATCCGAGAAGCGATAGCGAACGTAAGCAGCAGTAGAAAACCCTTATTATTATTCTGCAAAACAGATAAAGAAGAATTAGCCAACGCACGGGCTGCCTGTGCGAAGATGCGTTTTTTGTATAGTTCCCCCAAGTTTTTGTTGCTACCGGTACCGGCTTTTTCGGCAAATGCTTATAGCTAAACAAATTAACACTGGCCGCCAGAACTGTCGGAAAACACTCCCCTTAAAATTTCAGCTTTCCAGCTTCCCTGGCTCCTGAGTTAGCAACTTACTGGAAAAAAATTTTCATGGGCCATGCGAGTTTAACACGCATGCCCGAGACTTAGGTTTGAGTTGAATGAAACTTAGGCGGATGGGGTATATCCTCTTAAAATTACAGTACTTTAGCTTCTGAGGCACTCAAGTTATCAGCTTGCCCGAAAAAACTTTGGCGGTCCCGTACACGGGTACCACGCTTACGCGGGGCTGAGTTTGAGCTCACTAATACCCAGTTGGACGGGGAACATCCTCCTAAGATTTCAGCATTCTAGCTTCTCACATCCCCGAGTTATGAACTTACCCGAAAAAAATTTTGCGCGCCCGTACGCGGGTAATGGCGCCAATTTTGGGAATTGGGGCCCGTACGTGCATGTAGATTAAGTTCCCAAAGTTTCAGCCCTGTAGCTTTTGCAGGTTTTAAGATGAAAAACCGTGACAGACGCACACACGGACACACACACAGACAACCTCTCGTCAATATGCGTTTTTTGCAGCAATGCAATGCGAAAAACGCATATTGACGAAAGGTTGTCTGTGTCTGTGTGTGTGTGTGTTTGTGTGTGTGTGTCTGTGTGTGCGCTGGGCCTCTGTACCGATTTTTCATCTCAAGACCGGCAAAAACTACAGGGCTGGAACTTTGGGGACTTAATCTACATGCACGTACGGGCCCCCACCCCCAAAATGGGCGGTCCTTCCCGCGTGGTACCCCCGTAAGACCTCGTCAAAGTTTTTTACGGGTAAGCTGATAGCTCGCGAACCGGAAAAGCTAGAGAGCTGAAATTTTATGGGAATGTTCCCCGTCCAAGTAGGTACTAATGACCTCAAACTCAACCCCCGGGTAAGCGAGGTACCCGCGTACGGGCCCGCCAAAGTTTTTCCCGCGTAAATTCATAACTCGGGGTTCTGAGATGCTAGAAGACTGTAACATTAAGGGGGTTTCTCTCGCCCACACTAGCCTCAACGAGACCAGCCCTCGGCATGCGTGGTACCTACGCGCGGGTTCGCCAAAGTTCTCGGGTAAGCTCATAACTCGAGAACCTGTAAAGCTAGAAGACTGCAGTTTTAAGAAGATGTTCCCCGTCCAAGTAAGTCTCAATGGGCTCAGACCCAGACATCGGGCATGTGTCGTACTCGCGTGCGGGCCCGTGAAAGTTTTTTCCAGTAAGTTGCTAACAGGAGCCAGAAATACTAGAAAGTTGAAATTTTAAGGGGTTTTTCCTGCCGGTTCTGGAAGCTAGTCTTAATTTGTTTAGCTTGAAGCATTTGCCGGAAAACCGATGCTGGTAGCAACAAAAATTGCGGGGAACTCTGCAAAAAACGCATCTTCGCACGGGCAGCCCGTGCGTTGGCCAATTATTATTATTATTAATATTATTGTTGTTGTTGTTTCTGCCATTGTTTTGCCGGTCTTTTGATTATTTTCCCTTTAATATTTTTTTGTTTAATATTTCGTTTATTTTGTCTCTGATATTTTTTTTTACTGTATATTATTGTTTATTTATTTAGTGTAACAAACAAAGGGATGCAAACTACACCTGACTGTTCTGAAAACGCACTAGTTAACACACAGAAATTTAGGGAAAAGGAGGAGACACTAAGATGCAGATTTGCACGAAACAAGATCATTCTAATTTTCCGACTCTTAAAATTTTTCAAACATGCGCTCATGCTTTTTAATCCTTGCTTGCACACCTTTCACTTCCCACACGCGCTTTTTTTGGGACGTTTTACATATTTCATGTTAGTTTTCGGAGCTTTT